GCAGCGTAATGTCCTTGGTAATATGAGTGCTATTGATCGCGGCGGATGCACGACTCTTAAACGTATTGTATGTCTGTTGTCTGTATGAATGGACTGTCTTATATTGTCTCCTGGACAATATTAGTTCAGTTAATCAGTTAAAGGTTATGAAAAGACAATTTATTATACTCCGTTTCATTGATCTCTCGTTAAATGCATGTATATATCTGTAGTTGGAGTGGTCCTCATATTTCTAAAGGAGACATATTATGCATCTCTAAGCGGTTTTTTTTGTCATGTTTTAGAATGAGAAGTAATATTTTTAGTAGAAAACATGCCGTCAGCCTTTGAGTGTCCAAAAAAGCGTTTATAAAACCAATGCTAGTAGTAGTAGAAGCCGTAATTAGTCTTATCAACCATGGCTACTGCTCCCTGCTTGGGGGTGGTGCTTTTCGGATTCTGTGGCAGCTGATCGCCACCTCCTCGACCCAGAATCGGATTAGGGTAAGAAAATGGATGGATGGAACCATGGTTACTGCTCAGTAGGTGTGACCTTGTGCATGTGGTCTCTGGGATTTAACTGGAAAGCCACATGTGCCCTCTCGCAGCGACTTGTCCTCCTCAGTGTCCTTTGCCCACGGCTGAAGTAGCCTGAAGTGTTGGGTGCTGCACCGTTAACATCCACGCTCTCCCCAGGCTGACAAAAACATGCAAGGGCAGGGAATACCTTGGGACAAACACTTCACCCAGCTATTCTTTGATTAAGTTGCTGAAGGTAAGTTGTCCCTGAGCGAAATATACAGCATCGGAGAGTTTAGTAGGAAGGTTTGAAAACTTTATGGCAAAATAATCCATATCAGGTCAACTCTTAAAACCTCCACAGCAACCTCAGAGAGACGAGCCCAACTTGAGAACCGTTCAGTACCATCACCTTCGAATGGCAGCAGGAGGTTTATTTTTAGCGCTCCTGAGATAACGCCTCTTGCCGACTACGTGGAGTCTGATAGTAGCGCCGACAACCGGCGCACACTGCGGGGGCGAAGACTGCAGTACATGCACCGTGTTGTCGTCATCCATGGTGCAAAGGGCTTTTCTTCAACAAATATCACAACAACAAAAATGTAGCTTCAAAGCCGCACTATAGCAGCTCATCGTTTACAGAGAGTCAACAACTGGGGTTTAACACGCTTCAAAACTCACAAGAAAACCAAATTACCAAACAAACCTTGCCCACAAACTCTCTGGAAAGAAAAAAACACAATATGGCGGGAGAAGAGATGAGAGAAAAGATGAGAGCAGCAACAATTTGTTCCTAAAATACTCCTGTTCCAACATTACTATTATTATTAAAATATCATGCAGCCGTACTGTTAATGCTTTCCAATTACAGACACAAAGCTGAAAATCCGCTCTATTTCTATGTTTATTGATTTTTCCGTAAGATTAATAGGGCCAGTAAATCGATTGTAAGCTAATTTAATAATAGATTCATATTTTTTGTATCCTCACAAAAACTTAAACATGCTGCAAAGAGGTTTTAAGGGAGCACAGTGACTCTCGCTTGGGTTTGAATACCGGTCAGAACAGGGCCTTTCTGAGCGGAGTCTGCGTCGGTTTCCTCCGGGTGCTTCGGTTTCCTCTACCACTAAAAACACTGTACTGGCGACCTCGCTCCATGTCTGCGTGGAGGGACAGACAAATGCCCACAATTGTAAAGCGCTTTGTGACTCTGGTCTGTCATTAATCTATATAAATAAAGATTACTTACTTACTTACTTAGAATGAAATGAAAATGTAGTTTTCATTAGACAACCCAAAGTGTAACAAGTCGTCTCTTCGAAAAGTGTTCTCCAGGGGTTTGGATTCTGAAAAGTCAGTGAATATGGGATTTTTTTTAAAACAACTAATCAATGAATCAAAAGTATAGCTGGCCAATGAACCAATTATCAAAACAATCGTGAATTACAGCCCTAATGATTAATAACTGTCCGTATCCACTTGAATGTCAGGTTTAGCGGAGAAAATAGTGAGCTGCTAATCAGTAGGTATAGACCATGAAGTGTATGAGGCTTTTAGGGGATATATTTTAGTGCTGTACAAATAATATTTCATTGCTTTTTCTTTCCAATGTACTGCAAAATACTGTTGCAATACTGCTGACCTCTACATCAGAGAGTGGAGACAAGGGATAAAACCATAGACTGCATAAACGTGGACAATGCAAACCCGTACTTGGATGAAAACAGTTTTTGATCATTTGTATCTCGCATATAATATATTACACATGACAAACACATTCTGTAAATCACATCTGATGCGCTCTGGGGGTAAATGCGTGTCTATCTTTGTGGCTATAGAACTCCCAACGTCAGCAGAACGCAAACAGATAAAAGCCACACAGATCTATCAGATGCTCGTTCAATCACACGATCAATATCCAGGCTTTAGGGCTGTTTTACACTTCGCTTACCTCTGCAGTCATTTTGTTTTTAAACATAGCTTGTGTGTGTACCGTTGTGCGACAGATGTGCTGTTACCGCCTCTTGTTTTTTCTTGTGTACTTTATAATGCAAATTCATGTTAATGAGGCTCAGTGGCTTGTTTTGACTTAAACGAAGCGGACATAACAAGGAGAGTGCTTGAGGCAGACAAATGGCTTGCCCAGCATAAAAGTTAACACATCCAAACATGGGTAAAATGTGAAGTGTGTTGCCCAATGACACAATGGAAGAATGCACTGATCAATTAGACGGTTCATTTAAAAAAAAAAACAGCCAATAGAAAACTATTTGAAAGACGTACATTTTGCTTTTCACCATAGATTATTTAAAAGCCAGGTATATTTTAGTGCCATACAAATAAAGTTTCACTGCTTCTTTTACTAATTCTTTCAAATGTAAATGCAAAGTGCTGTAATAGAGAGTGACTCGGGATAGAACCATGCATATAGGTGGACAATGCAAACCTGCTAGTTCAATGAAGCCCAATAGGGAAGTGCTCATGAACGCAGTGTTGCCCCAACTTGCTCTGGATTTTGACTTAAACTGAAAAGCAAACTCCTCTGTCTCACACTCACCATTTTGGAGTTCATGGTTCTCTGTGATTCTGGTGTTTACATTTTGGTAGTGTCTTTGTAAATGCAGTGATGAGCTCCATAAGAATTGACCAATCAGATGCCTTCATTCGCAGGGCAAACTCCAGCTTGCTTTAACATCTATCTTAGCAACACATCTGCCTGCATAAGGAAATTGGCTCCAGTTAGACAATCGCCTCCTTCTGCATTTTACAAAAACACAATCGTAAAGGTGACGTCAGCACTCGGTCAGTCTCCTTCTAATACTCGGTCAATGGATAATAATTGTAATAAACTAATCAACTCAAAAATTTAATTCTAGGGGCTACCTTAAAATCTTGATTTCAGAGGATAATGGTTTGAGCGAGTGTCAATTAGTTTGCATTATTTTGTCTGAAATTTGACTCAATTTACCAATAAGTAACACATGCAGACAGTCTATGGCTTAATATAATAAAGTGAGTGATAAATATCACTCAATCATGCATGAATCACTCTCACTCCAGCTCCAGTGGGTGAATGAAAAGAGAAAAGCGTTCGCACATGTTTAAAAGCTCTCATCAGTCAACTCAGCACATGTCCTCTGGTACATTCTGAGACAGTATTTAGAGCGTGTGGGAGTTTCTGTGCTGAAGAACATGCTGTGTACTCTCAGCGCCTTTAGAATCAGACCGCTGTCATTTTTGTCGACTATTGCACAGAGATTGTCTTTTGTTGTGCCAGAATGTACTGTATCTTTAACTTGATTTATGATTGAATGATTTGAATCTCTCCTTTCTTGTTTTCTAAAGATTGTTGAGGTGTCCTGTGTGAATTGTGTTATACAAATATACCTGCCTTTCTTTTGGCCGACGACAGCCATAAATAATCATGTTGATCATAGAAATGGTAGACTCCCTAGTTGGACACACTCATTATACTCAGCACTGCTATTATTATCATGATTATAATGTAAGATTCACAAAATAATGGATTCATGTGGCAAATGATATAACTAGTTGCATTTTATTTAATAGATACAGCTTGCAAACTACTTTACTGCCACAACCAAAATGAAATCCAGTATATCCACCCTGCCTGGTTTTATTTCTTATTTTCAAACAAACAATTTCCAGTTGTCTTGTTATGTAATGAAACTGAGGAAGGACCAAAATTGCAGGACTGCCCAAATACAAGTGGTGTTTAAAAAAACCCAAAACAAAAATAAAGTCCAGTGCGTAAAAATGTCAAAACAGAACTGAAATGGCAAAATTGAACAAACCCAGCAACAGCAAAAACAATGAACCGACAGCATGAGTGAGAAATGCGATCTTGGAAACTCAGAAGTTCCGACATTCCACTTGGAAGAATGGGAATAAATGCTGCTCAACTTCAGAACTTCAACTCAAAAAATCGGGCTGGATCCATGGTCCCTGAGTTAGCGCCACTGGACATGTGTCAGATTTTGATAGGGACACAATTATAACTTCAAGGCCACAACATTTCTGTAGAACCATCTGAGATTGTATACAGTATGTGTGAGAACTTTGAGGAAGTACATATCTGCTCTTGTATGTCTCATATCACAACAGTAAACGATTCTTTGGCTTTCTCATGAAAAACAAAAAGAATCCAGGTACATTTCTGCACATTTTTTGTATTGTTATTTTTGCTGCTGCTGTGTGTCTGTCATCCGCGTCACCTCCTCATGAAGTCAGGGGATTTCTGTAGACATCTGAGTTTCCGAAAATTCACGAAAGCTACAAGAGCCCTGGGTTTTTAACTGAGAGATACAAGTGAAACACATTGGGGTGGAGCTGACAAACTGATTGAACAAGAAGTGAAACTAAAAAAAAAAAGCCAAGAAAACGGTTCAAAAACCAACTTCCAAAATGATGAGCACATTCCAGATTACACTACTATTGTTTTAAAAGGATCTAATGAGCGTGGTTCTTCCTTCTGTGTCCAGGACTCTCTGATCCTGGAGAAGAGCGACCTCCACCACCCAATCTGCTCCTTCCAGGACGACTTCCAGGAGTTTGAGATGATCGACGATGAAGAGGAGGAGGAGGAAGAGGAGGACGATGAAGACGCACCCCCCTCACCCTTCGGCTCTCCGCCTCCCTCACCCACTTTCGGCACCCTGAAGAGCCGGCCCACCACCCTGAACCTGACCACCGCTGTGTCACAGGTACGATGATGGGGAAGGGAGCAGAGATAGAACCTTTGGGGGATCTCAACTACCTGCCCTGATAATAACACTTTACTGATTGATCATACTGAACCAGAGATGAAGAGAATTAAGTTAAGGTAGTAATGTGAATGTAACAACTTTTTTATGGACGTCAAAACTATTTATTTCATTGTTTATTTGAATAGGGACAGTACACATTAATCAGCATTTCTGTAAATGTGTCAGTATTAGCTACAGTATACCTCTAGTGTCCAAACCTTACTAATATGCAAATAATTAGTCAGTATTGAACATTACACAACAAAATATAATGTCCTTTATTTTGGCCTATAGATTGTGCATTTCCTTCCACTTACAGGTGTATCCAACATATTGTCCACAAAAATATTTACAGTACTTGCAGAACTGTTAAGCGCACCTTTAACCACACCAGCATTTTAAAACAGCTAAATTCTGACCACATATAGGCCACACTTCGACAATACAATACACAATACAATACAATTGAATATAAGCTGCGGGTTTTCGTGTTGTAATGTAAAACTGATGGAGCAAAACAAATAGATAGACGACCGTTTTTACTGGTCACAACATGTTTTGACTGTTGACTCGTGATGCAGCACTATGTTGACAATAAATGTGCTTCATGTCGCTCCTGAAACTTGAGTCAAAATAATTAGTCTATAAAGTCTGTCCTGTCTGAAGCCCTAATCACATAAAAAGGTTCTGTGAATTTGCACTTGCTCATGTATTTCTGCTGTTCACATAAACACACCGGGAACCTTAAGTGTGTGCTATATCATACCTGATCGAGCTGATAGAGCTGTGTCCAGAGCCGTTCCTCCAGGGGACTGACTAATACAATAAAAATGCATGACTGTATCTCTACATAGGCTGCAAAGTTAAAAAAAATAATGCTCTAAAAGTAGCTGCTTTAGTTCACTAAGTACTGTAAATGGAGTCGCCCCCCCTAATTATTGAAGTTTTCAGCTAATGATACAAAACTTTTACAAAGTTCAGGAATAATATTGTTCAAAACATTATTGGTGCCAATTATTGACCTGGTCCAGCCTTCAGTAAAAGAGCACAACTTTAATTGATCTGAAGTTAAGCCTGGTTTAGGGAAACTCTAAATTAAAGTGCCTTTGAAACCTTGAAATAAAAATGTGATGCAGATTATTATTAGCAACACATTTGAGGGGATTGAATGATCAGACATAACTCAAAATCCAAGCATCATAAATAAATTAATCCATAATATTAATCCTTTGAAAATGCATGCACAATAATAATTGAACTGGGTTGACTTGGCCATCTGTAACTGTTTGAACTTTAAAAAAAAATCATTTGAATCACCTTTACTTATGGTATCTATTGATTTGATATTCACATGACATGGGTTTTGTCTCACAGGACTCGCTGAACAACAACAGCAGCCTCTCCCCAAAGAAAGGAAGCTGGCAGGACTCTCTACGGAACCCGACATCACAGGGTACCGTCCCCCGCTCAATGTCACTGCTAATGAAATAATAGGATAACAGAATGAGACAGCCTCTTGCATCACCACACAGGAATGGATTTTTGCTCCAGTGTCTAAAATACTAAGAACAAATGGAACAATAGGAGGGAACACTTGACTGATCATGATTAATTGCTCTCGTTGTCTTTTGGAATATCAATAGTGATCTCGGGTATTGGCTCCTATCCCAAGTGTTTTATTGGACAAGGTTTTGCTTATGTAACTGGACTATTTACTAGGCTATACGGTTTACTTTGAGTAGCTATTGGAAAACAAGTTGTATAATACAAAATTAGGACAAGCCCCCGATCCTAAAATTACGTAAAACTAGAATATGATAATACAAGTCTGTGGGATTTGTTAAATCCTTCTCACCATGTAATCCTATCAATCATAATTCCAACCAAATATCAAGAATGAATCATATCATTTAGTGTTATTGTCATTACTCATTGGTGTCAAACGACTGAGAGGCTACAACATACTGACGCAATCACATGTTTTTTTACCGTAGGCAATCTGTCTCCTACCCACTCATGTCTGGAGGACGGCAGCCACGTCACAGGCCAGTGCCCAGCCTCTCCGATCATCCAGGCACCGGGGCCCCAGAACAAAGGTACTCCCCCCAAACATGCAGGGGAGGGCGGGAAGTCCCACTCCCCACACCGGCCCCTCCTGTGTGACATGGAGGGCAACAGACGGGAGAGGCCCGTTTACGGTAACAACATGGCCGACCAGAAGGCTTAGATGGCTGTTGTGCAGTGCTGTGCGTCTCGTCCTGTGTTGTGTTGTGTGGTTGTTGTAATTATGGCATGAAACATTATTGCATCATACAATCATCCATGATTATTATATATCTGCTGCTTATATCTGCTGTCAATGACTAAAGTATTATTTCACCATCTGGATATTAACTTATTCATCGCTTTACTTTGTCAAAACAAAGGACTACATTGTGTACCCTATCACAAAATAGGGCTTGTTTTCTTTAGTTTTTAGTACTTGGCTATTCATTATATTATATTATTATTGAATTTGTATGTTGTTTTTGAACAACATCATGATTATCATTGAACAAAATGTAAAACATGGTCCAGCCGATTGATAAAACATACATATGCTGACTGTGGTATTAAAACGGATTGATGACTGAGGGAAGAAAATGAAATTATCCATGAATAATGATAAAGGCTTAAGTTTATAAATACTACACCTGAATTTCAATGCATGTCTTTAAAAGAACGATATCTCACCCAGGATTGGGTTGAGATATGAGAATTGAAAATTCAGAATTTTGGGTTAGTTTTCAGTAATTATCTACTTATTTATCTGTATAACATTTTACAGTAGTTGTAAAGAGTTAATTGATCTTGTACTTATTTTGCTGCATATTAATCTACTTTTTATTTTTTCTCCCTCCACAGGTTCATTCGGTCACCACAAATCCCATGGCGAAATCAAAGCCGATCCTTCCATCCACAAAAACAGGGTATCCTCTGTGGACGAGAACTCGCAATGTTCTGACACTGAGGTGGACCACGACTTAAACAGCGACCACAATCTGAAGCACTCCAACAACAGATGCCCCACAGACACCTACACTATCACCAGCGAGTCCGCCATGGAGCCTGAGACGGACATGGATCCAGATGGAACCAGCCGCTGCCTGTCTTCCACCGCACCCATGGGAACCACCGAAGGAGCAGATACCCCGCTGTCTGACGAAGAGCTGGACAAGGACTTTGAAGCTGAGTGTAATAACTTGTGCAAGGAAAACCGTTCAGCATATGTGGAATTCCCTCCTATCGAGCCGTCCCAGCCTGCAACTTACTCAACTTACCTGTCCTCCAAAGTCATTGATGCCTCTTACAATTCCATCAATGGTTCATTGGTTCCTGGAATGCAAGCTCCGGCAAACGAGTACACCTCCCCATCTTCAGACCCTGGGATTGCGGACATGAACCAGCAAGGATACATGAACTCAGATCGTGATAGAGATTTAAGTTCTCCGGGGTCGGACTCAGAAGTGGAAGAAGAGATTGAAGAAGCCTTCGCTAACGGGCCAGTGGTCTCCAATATGATCTCTTCTATCTCTGAAACGGAAATCGATTTGACAAGCGATGAAAGCAGCAGTGGACGCTCCTCCCATCTTACGAACTCCATCGAAGAAGCCAGTTCTCCTACGTCAGACCAGGAACTTGATCCAGACACAGAGTTGGAACAGGATAGCGGCATTGTCGGACTGAAAGAAACTCTTCTCCTCGGTCAACCCGATCCTATCAAAGAAGGTTCCATGGTTCCGTCGCCATCTCCATTGCCATCTCCCACTATTGCTACCCCAGATTCCCCACTTCTACCTCCTGAACCCTACCAAGAGAACTCGGAGGATGAGCAAAGTTGTGAGCACCAAGCAGATCCAGATGAGACGCTACCCCCAGCAGAACTCTGCGAGGACAGTCTTTCCCGACAGATGGTCCTCCAGATAGAACCAGACCACGGCTTGGAAAGTTTCAAACGTTCTTTTTACCTTCCAGTAGGTCCAAGACTTGTGCCCAGTTCAGAAGACTACGATGGGACGAGCGAGGGAGAGTCTGATTCAGACAGCGAGGATGAATTAAGCGAGAACTCTGATTCTCCATGGCTGCTTAGTAACCTTGTGAACAGGCTGATGTCAGAAGGTTCATACCCAATCAGCTGTCCGGAAGAGTGCTTGAAGAGGAAGCCATCAATGTCCGATACGATCTCACCATCTTCAGATATCGGAGACGGGGATCTTGCTGATGAAGATACGGACGAAAGTCAAGATGTAAAGGAAGCAGGAACTAGAACAGTCCCAAATCTGTACTTGACCAATCTGATGGAACAACAAGCAAGGGCTTCGGAGAAGAACAAGTCTGACAGGTTATGTAAGAACTCAAGGCAGGAGGAAGAAGTAGAAGAGCCCAATAATGACTTGATGATGCTGCAGCAAAGGAGGGATCTCGACTCACCCAGCCTCACAGAGAGCGTGATTAGTGACAAGGACGAAGGTAGAGAAACAGACCCCCAGGTCACCACGCGATCGTCGGCTTCCCTCGAGCGCATTACAGAGGTGAAAAACAGCTTGACCCTGGATCTGCCCACCTCCCAGACCAACCGCTGCTTTAGCCTCACATACTCTACAGACAATGATGAAGAGGAGGACAATGAAGAGTCGTACCCTTACCTGACCAACACGAAGAGTCAGACGTCTTACAGGCAGAGGTGTGTGGAGTCAAATTTACATCCACTGTGTTTTAGATGTCTTACTATCTGCTGGAGACTTTGAGCTTTTATGTTTGAGTGATGACTTGATGTCAAAAACTTTACATTTACCAGGGTTCATAGTTAGTTACATCAGGACCATAATTGATTTTACTTTGTTACTTTGGAAGGGCTCTTACTTGAACCATTCCACCCACCTTTGCTTACAGTGGCCTGGAGTTAGACAGTTCACCTCCTATCGACTGCAGTGTTCCGGAGCCTGTGCCCACTGACCATGACCTTCCACTGTGTGCGAGAGAACAGCAGCAGAGCGAGGACGATGGACTGGCCTATGACTCCATGAAGTACACTCTGGTGGTGGACGAGAACACCACTCTCGAACTGGTCAGCCTCAAAAGGTAAATTACAGCTATTATGGAACTCAACTGGACCAAAACAGACTGAGAATCCACACTCTAGAATGGCAATAGAGATGGTGACGACAGAACATAGCAATATAGAATTACATATAGAGAAATTATAGTGCGTGTAGCAGGTGACATTTGCCCTCTTTTTCACTTGGTTAGGATAGGAGCCATGCTAAACATATCTAGATGTTCTCTAAGAAAGTTCATTTGTGTCAGCTTGAGACAAAAATACAAAGGAAAAAAGTTGAATATTGTCCATTACAAAACTTAGAGAAAAGCTGAACACAAGAGATAAGGGTGTCAGACTGTACAATAAACATTGAGTCTATGTCATTCGCCTGTAGTAATAAGTGTAATTGTACAATATTAGGAATACTGTATCATATTGTCTACATGGGTATCTCAAACATGAGAAAACAAGGCAAGATTTCTCTGAAACTTGAAAAAGGTTTTTTGGAAATGTTTTCTGTCGCATGTCCTTTTGTTTTGAACTATAAGTTGTATTGTGTGTATGTCAGATGCACCTCAGTCCTCAGTGACGACAGTGAGCTCTCTACAATCTGCGATGAGGAGCCGCTGAGGTCCAGAGATGGGATCTACGGCAGAGAGGATGAAGAGGAGGAAGGCCGGCCTGAACTCAGCTCCTCTGAAGACTCCTCTCCTGAAGCAGACCTGCCGTTCTCCAAGAAGTTCCTCAACGTCTTTGTCAACAGCACCACGCGCTCGTCCAGTAAGAACCAGTTTTAGTCCATGATGATTTTGAGAGTCGTTTTCAAAATTACATAACTTAGTGAAGTCAAAGACTGTGTGCAAGAACGGCTATTGGTTTAATCAGACAATGTCTCAATTTTACATATTTAAAAATAGATTCTTATGTGAATTTCTCTTTTCTCCCAAAGGCACAGAATCTTTTGGCTTGTTTTCCTGCACCATCAACGGGGAAGAGCGAGACCAGACTCACAGAGCGGTCTACAGGTAAAACCCTGCCTGGTCGGCCTGACTCCTGGACCATGATGTCGATTAATTTAAAATGTTTTCAAGGCCAAAGAGGGGGTTTTCAGAAAGTTGTGATCCTGAGCTGTCTCTGTATTCCATTGAGCAATGCATACACTAAAAAGAATTAAAACTTATCTGTATTCCATCATTTGTTTCCATTTGACAATATTAATTTAAAACAATTCTCCACACAAGTAAGAATACATATTAGTATTTGAAATTAATGGGACCGTGGCAATTCATAAAGGGTTGGCTAAATTGATATTAGCATCACTTATTAAACGCGGACACGGCCAAATAATCAGTGTTTTTCACTTATGTAAATTTCCTGCAGCACGGGGCCTTAATGACATTAGAAAGAGCTGACGTCTTTGCTGCAGCAGCTTGAGGAGGACATGTTAATGAGCACATGAGGCACCAGCTGTATCTGGAGTGCACATTTCTAAAGCCCGTATGGTTCAACAATACATGTAGAGCAGGATAATGAACCAGATCCCGGCAGATGTTTCCCAAATCCAGTGAAAATGCAAAGGACATTTGACTAAATTGATTCTGTTCAGTGAAGGAGGAACGACTAAGACTCTCCAGTTATAGAGCTGAGGATAATTTAACAATCTTATAGTAAAATATACACATGTAGTCTATGGTCTGGAGTCATGGTGGAGAAAGGCTCCACATTAATCCCAGCACTGGGTCAACATGTAAAGTCTGATATGTGTTTTATTAATTTGGTGAAAGGTTTAATATTTATGTAATTCCATTCTTTTTCCTATGAATTTTTTGTGAAATACGCTTGTGTGAAATAGTGTATACACAAACAATGACAGAAATAGCCCACAATATATATTTTTGTTTGACCAGAGCAGTTGTCAGTCTAGGTGCTAAACGTAAAAACATCATCCAAAAATAATAGTTCATAAATAGTTCATAAATATGGGATTTGTCAGAAAATAAAATCATTCTTGCAGAGTGTTATGCTGCTTTCATGCAATCTCAGAAACTTTTACATCTTCCCTCTCAGAAAAATGGGAATGCACACTGCTCAGTGTATATGTCACCACTGTCACTCCGAACACTCCGATTTTGGGAAGTCGGGAGATTACGTAGATAACTCTGCGTTTTCAAGATCGCATGAAAGCAGTCCTTTTTAAAAAGAAATTGTGACATTGAACACCAATCAAAATCATCACTCTTACATGCTAAACTCTAAACATTCCAATACATTACCATCATAAAGAAAAAAGTCAAAAGAGTAATGCTTCCCGACCTCAAGGGAGTAAAGGAAAATACCAAAAATGAAGCGCTCCTGGCTGCCTGTCATGTTGTGAAATGTGACTTTTCATCTCTAAGCCTGAGTGAGTTGTGGTGGAGTGGGGTCTCTGGAACTGAAACTTTCTTAGGGCCCCCTGAAGACTGGGACCGGCACTGCCACCACTAAACTGCCATCCATCCACCATCTTGCATTCAGCACATGAGACAGTATTCTGAGTGAAGTGTTTGTGTGTGTGGCGCCCTCTGCAGGTTCATACCAAGACATGCAGACGAGCTGGAGCTGGATGTGGACGACCCTCTGTTTGTGGAGGAAGAGGAGGATGACTACTGGTACAGAGGCTACAACATGCGCACGGGGGAGAAGGGCATCTTCCCAGCCTTCTACGCCACCGAGGTCATGAGCCAGGCCAAAGATGCCATTGGTGTGTGGGGAAATACAGAGTGTTTGTGTGCATGTGTGTAATCGCTTTTGTTGTACAGTAGTATTGAGTACAGTTTTTATTTTATTTTAGTTATTCATCATCTTTGTAAAGAGGACACATTATGCTAAATCGACTTTTGTCCACATTTAAACATTATTACCTCATCAAAAACAGACCTGGAGTTGTTTCTAGATCCATCTGCTTTAATATCAGGAACTTCTTGCAGAGACAATTAGCTCCGCCCCCTCTGTCTAAACGCTCCTGTCAGTTCTGTAAGAGTATGATGTCATTGTACCACTATGACATCATACTCAAAGCCGTTTTCTCAAGTGAAATAACCTTCTTCTCATGGCTGGGTTTGCAGTCGGTAAACTTTGAAAAAAACAGTTTAGTTTATTGGGAAAGCCTTTTTTTTACCCTTCATATGTTTTACCCTATATTATGTTTTGGACTTAAATTTTGAAACGATGTGTTCACATTAACAAGTTTATGGCTAGAAATTATTTGCAAATAAATGACTGATATTTGAATCCATGTGTAAACATGTTTTGATGCCTGAACTCAAGAGAATGACACAAAGTTTGAATGTGTAGAAAATAATCCTATAGGGCAGTCGAATGTACATTACGTAAGAGTACAAGTATTCACAGTATATTTCTTTAAGTGCAGTACTGTGTTTCATTATCATAGTTGACTGGAGCATCTAAAGCCTTGTGTCTTGTGTAGGAGTGAAGAGGAACCCAGCCTGGATGGAGACTTTCTGTGTACAGTTCCTGGGGTCAGTGGAGGTCCCTTATCACCAAGGAAACGGCATTCTGTGCGCGGCCATGCAAAAGGTAAAGTGGACAAATGCATCAGGAATCTTACAATGTTATTTTTTATTTGATGACTATTGTGAAAAGACAGTGGTTATGTTGTACGTAAGATCGTCTCAATTTAATGAAATAATGAAAATTGGTGATTCAGTGCTTCCTGTGTCCAGTCGGAAAAAAATAAAATAAAAAGGTTTACCTGCAGTACTAGGTCACAATAACTATAACTACATGAATGTAAAGTATGTTGCGTGATTATTTACTGTATAGACACTTTAATTCCGATTCAGATTTACTTTTTAATCGCACCAGGGGCAAATCATTTGAGCAGCATAGATCATAAAAACAATTTTTTTGCCACTTGTGACAGAAAAATATAAAAAAAGAAGTATTAATTATGAAGTTATTCCAAACATTTTATTGAGAAGAATATGTCCGAAAACAATAACAAGACATGAGGAAATGACAGAAAATGATATACCTTTAACACTTGACATGGTAAAAAACAGTTTGTCCTCTGCACCACTCCTGAATCATGGTTATTGCTTCTTTTATGCTCTCGGTGGAAGATACACCCCCAGAGCGCCCTCTGCTGTATCCGGCTCCAACACAACACAACTACACAAGCTCAGACAAACACTTAAGTCCACAGCAATAACAAGCAACAGAGAGTGCAGCTGTCTAATAGGGATTGGTAAATATTTTAAGTGACTCTTATTTTTGTGAAGCACTTTGAGTTTGTGAAAAGTTCTACACAAATAAAATAGCCTTGCCTTATAATAATTGTTTACATTGGAAGCATATGTATGACTGATAAATGGACTTAAATGCTTTCCATTCTAGTGATCTGAGGCACTTTTTACTTAGCGAGATCATTTGAAAGAGCATGGTTTTCCTCATTCCCTGTTGCCGTGGTGACTGTTGCTGCAGATCGCCATGTCTCGGAAGCGGACGGTGCACGTGCGGCCGCCCTCTCTGTGTGAGCTGGAGATCAGTCTGCAGGGAGTGAAGCTCATCATGAGTCTGGAGGACGACTACGACTCCTTCAATGAGGTACACACACATCCTCTGGACCCACACTACCTCACACGCAAAACCCTCCAGGACTTACCATAGACTGTAAGTGAATTGTTGCCTGACATTGAAGCTGTTTGCCTTTTTTAATTATGGATGTCAAAAGCATATTGAAATTAAAATGGTAAAGCAGAATGGTTTTACTAATTGTTTTCTTTTTCTTTAATTTATTTCTTTAATTTATTTTGTGGGAATAGTAGATGATATAAAACTGCGTGTGTGCATCAGAATCTTGCCCAATGTTTTTCTGTTGTTGTAATATTTTTTAGCAACATATTTATGTCACATTTTTCATCTTGTGCACAGTTCGACAGATGTAGTCACTTCTTCCAGATGAAGAACATCTCGTTTTGCGGCTGTCATCCCAGGAATAACTGGTGAGTGTAGTAGTAGTAGAAAGTGCATTGTAAAGCGCTTTAGTTGACCTTGTGTACACACCCATGTATACACACACATACGTACATACACCCACTTACTGTATACACACACATACATACACAAACATACTGTATACACACCCACATATGCACACACATACATACAGTACATACACACACATACTGTATACACGCCCCCTATACAAATACATACACCCACATAATGTATACACACACATACATACATACACCCACTTACTGTATACACACCCACGTATACACACACGTACATACATACTGTATACACACCCACGTATACACACACGTACATACATACTGTATACAAACCCATGTATACACTCACATACATACATACACCCAAATACTATATACACACCCTTGTATACACGCATATACATACAGTACATACACACACATACTGTATACACACACATGCATACATACACCCACATACTGTATACACACACATACATACAGTACATACACACACATACTGTATACACACACATGCATACATACACCCACATACTGTATACACACACATACATACAGTACATACACCCACATACTGTATACACACCCACGTATACACACACCATACTGTATACACACACATACATACAGTACATACACCCACATACTGTATACACACCCACGTATACACACACACACACACACACAGACACACACACACACATACACATATAGACCCTATCTCTGCCATTACTTGCTCTGTGCTGGGGGCATCACTCCCTCCCCTCCATGTATCATAGCAGCATGATGGAGCTGCACTGTGACATCATAACGTTTGTCTCCGCAGCTACTTCGGCTTCATCACCAAACACCCCACGCTCAGCCGCTTCGCCTGCCACGTATTTGTGTCCCAGGAGTCCATGCGCCCCGTAGCAGAGTGTGTCGGGTGAGTCCCATACTCTCTTTTTCATTCAAAAACCCGGACGCAAAGTGGTTCACAGCGTTAAAATCCTGCGTTTGATTCCACTTCCAGGCCGTTCTTTGCAGAGTTTGCATGTTCTCCCTGTGTCTGTGTAGGTTCCTATGGATGCTCTGGTTTTCCCTACTACTGAAAACATGTGCAATAGGAATGATTGTAGTGAGAAAGTGAATGGAAGCTGATGGTCAGGGTGTTTGGGTGTGTTCGGCTTCTCGCTTCTGTCATCACTTTGTGTGGAATGAATGGAAAAATACCGCCTCGTGTGACCTTGATCTGTGAAATATAAATGGAGATACTTACTTACAATGATGTGGCAAACAATACATGCATGAGTAAACAGTTGCATCGTATTACATTGTGGTTTCAAAGTTAGGGACTCTTTCATAGTGTGGGATTTCTATGCTTTTTTCAATGGGGCCATGGAAAATTCACTCTTTCTTAGCAGCTTAAGTGATCGTTTGTTATCGTTTTGGTCCGTCACTCATGTCTAAAATCATACTGCAGTGTACTGTCTGATGTTATAAATGTTAGGGATGTACCGATCCAGATTTTTTTGTGATCCGATTCCGATATTCCTAAATATTGTTTTGCCCTTTACCGATCCTATACCGGTCAAATTTTTTCTAATATTTTCAAAGCATAATTTTTTTTGCCACCGGTATTACTTTAAAATGTTTTAAAAAATAAATACACTTTAATTAAAAATGTTTAGAACAAAAAAATTGTGTTTGGCTTTTGCTTAACAGACCTACTGAGTTAGGTCATAGGTAAGAATCACATCAGTATTGAATATTTCACCTTTAAAATAAACTTGATATAAAAGAAATATCAAAGAGGAACATTTATCAAAAATCTGCCCTGAACATTCAGTATAACAAAAAGAAAAGAGCTGGTACATGACTGAATGACCACAAAACTCCCTGATATTTAACAAATCCGATAATATCCGATCCTTACAAAATACTCATATCGGCCCCCGATACTGAATATCGGATCGGTACATCCCTAATAAATGTTATTTTTGTATTTTGGTTGCAGACGGGCCTTCCAAGAGTACTACCACGAGCACCTGGAGTACGCCTGCCCCACAGAGGACATCTACCTGGAGTAGGACGTCGCCATGACAACCACCATGCCTCTCTGCAGATTGTCAATCACAAAGCTTGCCACCAGAGGGCGCCGTCAGTGAGGGCCCTTCGAGACTGGGACCGGTCACCTCTCCAACATGCTACAGGCATTTGACTGACAACACCCAACCCTCTCCGATCGCCTTTTTCCGTTCTCTTTTTCTATTATACAAAACTCCAATGCTGAGCAGCTCTTTCAAAAGAGTTTTATTTTGAAATATTTACAATATACTGTACCTACTGCTGTTTCACTTCTCAATGCATGGCTAGTAGACACAAGAACACATACAGTATCCGGGGGAACAGTGGAAAATGGTGTGTAAATATGTTTCGTTTTTTTTGTTTTTTTCTTTTTATTTTCAACCAATAGCGGAGCGTAGAGAGATGGGCAAAGTCAATGGTCTACAAAAGCGTAAGTGTGTGTTGTAAATAGATGTATAGAAAGTATGTAGACTGTGGAGAGGCAAGGGAAGCGATGAGAAATAACGGAAAAACAGTGTAACAGGCGTTTTCTATAGATTGTAACGAGCAGTCATCGTCCGTTTGTCTGTATATTATAAACATTGTACTTTTTGTCCACTTTGGGGATGCACCGCTTGCTGAAATTCACAGTGGGGAGCCAGTTATACAAGGAAATAAGTTAACAAGCAGTACTCAATACTCACTGTAGCTTATAAAACCCACATATCTGGACTGGTTTTAATAATCTAGCCTGCAAATTTACACGTCTGTCCCGAATCCTGGCTGCAAAACGAAAGGCTATTCCTGTGAAGTGACTTAGCAGAAGGCCTTCATGTTATTATGTACGTGTTGCTGTGGACTAGCTCATGTATATTGTTAGAATCTAGACTCAAGAAAAGAAAAAAAAAGTATGTGCTGTCTTCATTTATGTTGTGCCGAAAAGCAACGCGGATTCCAAAGACGTTTCGACGAGGAATGACGAAAACCACACAACCAACGTCTGTGATTTGCAATAATGTAAGTTCACGAATGTCTTACTTTTGTTTGGTTTTATATATGAAAAAAGAAACGCTTGTGGGCCGCAGCAGCACATGTCGGGTATTTCTGTGTCGCATATGTTTTTCTAATCATCAAATATGCGGTCAGTGTGACGGAAGGCGGACTGGGAGCGGAGCGATTGCCACCCAAAAACTGATAATGGCCTTATTTCTGTATATGTGTCTTGATTGAACAGACCTGGATGTCTTTAGTTCAATTTGGAATATTGTATAAGTATTCAATAATGCGGATGTAAACCCTAATTTTTACCAAAAGCTGCTGATAATGAGGTCAAATTTGTAAGCAGGAAGACAGACATCTTAAGGATTTTATGTTTTGTTAAAGCTGGGGTGCCTAACTTTCAATGCACACAATTTTTCACTATATTTACAACTATATCGATAGTTTCTCACTCTCATAACAGTTGTCACATGCATGTCATTTTGGCCTGTCACTTTTGTATCCGGCTGAAAATGAAAGGACCACCCTCACTCAGCCAATCAGCTCTCAGCTCAAAGCATCCAATAGTGACCCAGGGCTTTTTACTTACAAGTATGCAAACAATAGCATGTTTTTTGTTTTTTTTCCAATGCAGTATTTATGGTTTATGAATATGTATGGTACCTCAGCTTTAAGAAAGAAATGACTTAAATATTACTGGACTGAGATTCTTCTTCCCATCAGTCTGCCGCAGCCTCCTCCCTCAGAAATAAAAGTGGGTAAATGCTTTGTAGTTTCTCAATAGCTGTGAAGTAGCCTATTAGTTGCATTGATGACAGAAGGCTGCATAAATTATGAAGGAAACGGCGGAAAAGTCCAAATAAAGAGGCTTCAAATGACAAAAGCCAAATTAGATTTTTCTATTGTGACATCAATAAAAAGCAGCAACTCCTACTCTACAGTTCGATACTTTTTAATGAATATTATATTGTGTCTTGGAAAACCAAATTCCCCCACTCAAATCCCTCAATTGTCAAGAAATATTCAGAAATGAGCCATTCGCAGAGGAGAACTATGATCTCACAGTGCATCCAGCAGTCTTGTTATCTGATAACTTTATTTTGCACAGAGCTACAGCTTCGAGACTTTGAAGACGCGTCCATAGGCACCACATGAACAATAACCAAAACCTCAGCAGGATCCTTCACTGTACTTTAGAGCAGACGACTATGTGACAAACAGCATACATTTCCTATCTTCTAACTTCAAAATGAGACTTGTAAATTGAAAACAAAAAGTACAAAAAAAAGCGTTACATCACTCTGCCTTGTCATGGGTTTGGTCTTCTGAATAAATTATATGCTTGATGTCTGAAATCTCTCTTATTTGTGTGTGTGTGTTCATTGGTTTGTTTGACTTCAGGATAAGAAAGCTTGTATTTGTCTCGCACTGGGGAAGTGTCACCATAAGAACAGTGTGAATACAAGGAGGGCTAAGAAAAATACAATTCAAACTTAGAAGAGAGATCTATCCATGCATTTCTTCTGCTTTATCCGTTGCCGAGCCGCTCCAGGTCATCTGGGTGAATTCTGAGGCATTTCCAGGTTAGCTGAAAGACAGTCCCTTCACCGTGTCCTGGATCTTCCTCTGGTCTCCTCCACCTCAACAAGAAGTAATGACTCTACTCTGAGCTCCTGCCGTGCGATCTCATCCTTTCGTCGCCACCAAAGCGGTAAATCAAGAGCTCTGCCTTTCGACTCAGCTCCCTCTTTGCCACAACTGTGTGTATAGCTCTGACTGCAGACGCTGCTCCCTCTTCACCATAACAGTCCAATACAAGGACTGCATCATAACTGCTTTATAAATTAGATACTGTATGTTTTTGACAGTCACAATGTTGACTGTGATTAGAATCGGTTTGTTTCAAATGTATTAATGCAGTGTTGGGAAGAATACTTTTTGAATTCAGATTACCCAAATGCATTTTACAATACAGTACATACAAGAAAAATACAATACACAAAGATATACATATATGGACATGGGCAACATTACACTGTTGTAAGAGCAGCTACAGTAGGTCCCATTTCGTTTTGTCGCCTTTCACGCGTGAATAGCACGAGACTCACGTGTGAAACACGCGTCTTATTTTTTTTTTTCCCCAGTGATGCTGCAATGACCCAAACAACCACCAGGTGGCACATGTGAGCAGGGTTAGGAACATTGGCTTCTCACCGCTCTTTTTTAGAGCAGGCAGATAATAGAATATCTATTATCTAGATCTAGATCTAGATCTAGGATCTAGAATCTAGATATCTATTATCTATTATTAGATAATAGAATATCTGCCTGCTTTTGACTGCTACATTGCATGGCAAGGCAAGGCAAGTTTATTTGTATAGCACAATTCATACACAAGGCAACTCAAAGTGCTGAACAAAACAAGAAAGCATTAAAATCATAAATAATCACAGAACATTAAAAAGAAAGATAAAAACATAAAATCCCTCAGTTGTATGCACAACTAAACAGAACTGTCTTTAACCGGGTTTTAAACATTGTCAGAGAGGAGGCCTGTCTCACATCTTCAGGAAGATTGTTCCAGATTTTAGCAGCATGAATCTGAAAAGCGGCCTCCCCATGTTTAGTTCTGACTCTGGGCACTAACAGGAGTCCAGTCCCTGTGCTCCTCAGAGTCCGGGCTGGTTCATATGGGACTAACATGTCACTAATATATTTTGGTGCGAGGCCATGGAGAGACTTGTACACAAGCAGAGCTGTTTTAAAGTCTATTCTCTGAGCCACAGGAAGCCAGTGCAGAGACCTGAGGACCGGACTAATATGGTCGTACTTCCTGGTTCTAGTCAGGACTCGAGCTGCTGCATTTTGAATGTACTGCAGCTGTTTTACAGCCTGTTTGGACAGACCTGTGAGCAGGCCATTGCAGTAGTGTAACCTACTGGAGACAAATGCATGGATAAGAATCTCCAAGTCTGCCCTAGACACTATGTTTTTGATCCTGGCAATGTTTTTTAGATGGTAAAAAGCTGCTGATGTTATTGATTTGATGTGGCTATTAAAATTTAAGTCTGAGTCCAGTATTACCCCTAGATTTCTGACCTTGTTTGAAGGTTTTAGGGAGAGAGACTGGAGGTGACAGATGACGCTCTCTCTTTGTTTCTCGGGACCAAAGACAATCATTTCAGTTTTGTCTGCATTTAGCTGAAGGAAGTTGTTTTGCATCCACTCACTGATCTGTTGGATACAGTGAAGGAGTGAGTCCACTGGTCCATGTTCTCCTGCAGTCAGTGAGACATAGATCTGAGTGTCGTCTGCATAGTTGTGATAGGACACTATTATATTGCATATAATATTGTCCCTCTCAGGCGATGTGTTTTTCTCCTGCTGTGTCTTCTCTCCACTCTTATCTCACATTCCTCTGCCAAGGCCATAAAACAAGGTCCCCATCTACAACAACTCACACTATTCAGTCTCCAGCACGAATCCCGCTCCCCCCGCCTCCCTCTACCTATCCATCTTGCTCCCTCCCTCCCCTCCACTCCTCATTGTGTTTCCGACTCACCCCCTCCCTGACCCTGCCCCCCTCTGACAGCCACATTGGGCCGGCAGTCGGAGGTGCTCATCCCGAGAAAAAAAATCCCTGGTTTATACAAAGCACAATGTGTCTATCCAATTGTCTCTGAAACTGTATGTTATTGCTCTCTGTTGTTTATTCTACTGTTTGTCGCATGGCGCCGTAAAGATGGCGCCGTGGCAAGAGCTCTGGTGTGTGTCGTCTGGTGCACACTGGGGTAGTCTTGCACAGTTTTTCCAATGTGGTTTTACTGCAAATGGCAAATAAATGAATCTGAATCTTGTATATGTACGTTTAAATGTAAGTCATTCTTTCCTAATTTTTTTCATAATGTCCACTTTGCTCAATTAAAAAATAGATTGTAGATGACTCATCCCAAAAGTAAAGTTATAATCTCATAAAACCAGTATAGTATTCTGAACAATTGACTCAAGAATACTGGAACCTGAAATAGAGCCCGTCCCAAGTTTGATTCGAGGGTTTGAGGTTTCAGTCTGGATTACAGCACGACTCTAGGTGGGGGTCTCTGCCCTTGCTCTGGCTGAGCTTGTGGACAGCGGCAGCAGCTGGGTTTGGGGCTACACTCTGGGTTACAGCACGGCTCTAGGTGTGGGTCTCTTCCCTTGTCGATCTGGCTCTCCCCGAACTCCATGGAGGCCTCCAGGCTGGCTTTGGCGGCCATGATGCGGTCCAGCAGGTCGGGCCGGTCCTTCATCGAGAGGCTGTACAGCTCTGAGGGGTCGCTGTCCAGGTCGAAGACGAGGGGAGGATTGTGGGACGCCATAGGGGCCACGCAGTCAGGGTCCGGCCCGGTGCTGCTCTTATCTGAACCTGTGAGAGGAAGTGGCAATAAGACCAGTGGCCCCTGTCAGTAGGTTGCGTTCAATACAGTTTTAATTCTGATATTAGGATTATTATGATTATTAGAGCACTTTGGTTGCTAATAGACTGTTATCTAATATGATATTCCCGAAATTGTGCCTTACGAATAAATTTGATTGATTGATGTGACACAGCAACATTCCAAAGAGACTAGAGTTTGAATTGAGTTTATCTTTTATCAAAAAAATGACATGTTTTTGTTTTAGTGTCTGTAATCTCCGAAGACATATTTTAGTAGTTACTTAGTCTGGAAAGAACCTGTAGTGAAAAATTCTAATCAAGTTTAATGTTTTCAGGTCCAGTTTACTGTACGTTATAGACTTTTTATTTGTTATCAAAACCAGTTTCACAAGTTTTGAGCTTTCACACCAGAAAATGAAGTTGACCAAAGATCTCTTGCTTCATAACATGAACTGAAAGCTTTCATTAATTAACAAAAAAAAAATCGAAATTTAAAGTAAGTACAGTACTTGCTTGAAGAGAAGCAGCCTGTATGACCACATATACAGTAGGCTGCATGTGAATCCCTAAAGCTCTCACAATAATCCTAATCAAATTTAAAAGTCTGATGTATTTCTCTGCATTGTTGTCTCTCTCTGTTGTTCACATAAACACACCAGGGAGCAGGAATGTGTGCTATGATAGAGCTGATAGAGCTGTGTCTGAATCTCCTCCTGCCTCCATACAGTATACGTGCCGCAGGGTTTAAAGAACTGGAAAACATTCTGTAACTGACCGAATGTTGTCCAGTTTGTGCAGTTGTGCGTACCGTGTGTGTAGAAGTAGGCCTTGTACTGCCCCAGCCTCAGAGCATGAAGCCCTATCTGCTTACTGGGATTCAAGGACCAGAACATCATGGATTGTCTTTTACTCTGCGAAAGAAAAAATGCACATGCTCGTTCAGCCGTCACAAAAATGCATTTACAAAACCAACGCGTGGAAAGACATGAGCACCGGGGCCTGACGGAAAAGGGTCTCCGATATGTCCACTCCGTCCAGGGCCACCGGGGGCAGTGTCGCTCCAGACAACTTGGCCACAGTAGGGAGGATGTCCAGGGTGCTGGCCAGTGCGTGAGTAACACCTGACAGAAACAGAACGTGGAATAATAATAATCAGAAAAAAGTGCTGCTGCTTCTGAATAAGTGACTCAAAATGTGGGTAAAAATAGCTGTGTTGAGAACAGCGGGGGCGGGTCCCAGCTCAACGCTATGTTCCAGATGTGTATCAATGCTGAGGGGAGTTTTTTTTCTGGACCAGTCTAGTTAAGCCTCAGTGGACTGAAAAGTGTGAAAAGTGATAACCATACATTTCAACAATGGAGATAGTCACTACGTCTATTAGTATTTACTGTCTATGGTTCAGAAGTACCTATCATGAATTTTTGTCTGTTCACTTTGTCAATTATACAAAATATTCCGAACATTTTTAAAAGAAAGTAATGTAATGTAATGTAACACTTAACCAACAGCTGACGGAGCAAAACGATTATATGAGAGACGACGTGATCATCAAAGCACTATAGTAAATATTATCTAAATTTGACAATAAATCTGCTTCCCATCCCTACAAGAACTTAATGGAGTCAACACAATATGATCATGACAAGATGAGTATAAAACTTCCCCCACTGTGGAACGAATAAAGGTTCTCTTATCATTTCACCAATACCTTTGTCTGTGAAAAAGGGGTTACTGCGTTGTGAAAGGCCTGGCTGTAAAATAGTTAAAATGCGTTTTAAAAATCAAACTGCAAAAGTGAAAACTAGAACAGTTTGATGATTGATGATTTGACAGCACAATATAAATGACTCAAACATGAATTACTCTCGACTAAAATTAGAAACAGATGATGAAAACCGTTAAAGCCCGGTCAAAATCTCGTAGACCGGTTTGCACTTTGAGTTTCCTTGTGTATGAACTGTGCTATACAAATTTCCTTTGAACAGTTCTTATACTGATAATGTACTGACCCGGAGAGACTTTCCCGGGCCAGAAGGCGATGGCAGGTTCCCTCACTCCGCCCTCGTAAGTGGTGGCTTTACCGCACTTCAGAAGGCCAGCTGTGCCCCCACGGGACCTCCGCAACATCTCCGGCCTGGAGGCAGAAGCACTCATCAGCATTTATACAGAATCAGGGTTTTTAGACACGGGAAATCCTCACTTCATCATCATCACAATCGATCGCTTTAACCATGAACTTAAACCAGATTTCTTCTTTTATTTCTAAAATCAAAAAAGAATGACCTTCAACTTAAAGTTCTATAGACATTTATTGGACCAATGGCTATATGTGGCTTGTATTTCTCGGTGTTTGAACTGTTTGATTCTGTGCTGGCAAAACCACAACTTTGTAAAGGCCTTTGGGATCGCTACTGGTGTGTTTTAGGCCTATACAAAAATAGGAATAAAACTTCAAGCACAAAAAATAAAAACATATTTTTTTATACTATGGAATTAGCAACAACCTAGAATCTTTGTTGCAAAATGTACAGCTGATATAGAATGCAAATAGAAAATAAATACTGAATTTGAGGATATTTGAGAATGATTTATCCAGACGCTATTTCTTAAAATACTATGGGAAACGTTCCCAAACTCCAAAAGTAGTCAAGTTATCATGTGTTTTCAAATAGGAATGGACAAGACCAGATCTCAAAAAATAAATCTTAAATATTTTAGAACAGACTGAAAGAACGAAACCAATGGGATGGATTTCTAAAACACCTAAAAAGACTTAAATAAACTGGCAAATTCATGTTTGCAACCCACTCGCCCCGTTGTGGCCATGAAACGATAATCCGATGAGGAAAAGGCGTCGTATAAGGAGGATGCAGCCAGGGCGAAAACTCAAGTCAACATCGGGACATCCGAAGGACATGCTACTGCTAAGCTAACCTGAATCCTTTACTGCACCTTTAAGATAACTTTTCTAAATATTGAACAGAAAAAAACCAATCCATGCACACAACCGGTTTCAGAATGTTTGTTAGAATAAAGCAACATTGCGTTACATTTATTTACAAAGGACGAATGAAAAAACTGCCCGATTAACTGACCTCTAGCACTCTACAAACACAAGATCACAGGAACATTTACTTTTCAACTTTTGAAAAGTTGGACAAACTGGGATTACACTTTCCCATGATAACAATATGGTTTTAGAATTGTATAAACATAACTGTATGTTCTCAACTGTTTTATTGTGTGATTATACTTTGTTTGTGTGTTTTGTATGTTGAAAAAGCCCTGAGACACCCAAAATCAAAAGTCAGGTCCAGTCAGCTGTGCTTGTATCTGTATACAGAGTCACTGACCCGTTGTCTGAGGAGAAGAAGACCAGAGTGTTCTGGATGACCCCGCTCATCGCCAGCGCATCCATGACTTCTCCGATGCTGGTGTCAAACTCTAGAAGGGCGTCTCCAAAAGGACCCCTGGACGTCCTCCCAGCTGCCCTGCTGCCCGCAAACTGGGGGTAATGTGTATGCTGCACAGAAAAGAAAAATATAGGGTGCTTATTATTATGGGAGATTACAAAAGATCTTATCATTCAACAGTGAAATCCAGTAAATCAGCCTTGAAAAAAATGCAGGGTTGTATGGATCTCTTATAATAATAATTGTTCTTTAATCATATGGACAAATACCATAGACTGTATTGTAGGAGCGGACAGAAGAAGCCAATTGAAATTGAACTAATTTGAGCCAATTTACTTCCCAGCAAAACAGGGGCAGAAGTAGCCTGGTCTTACCACACCATAGTACAAATTACATTTTGTAGTAAGGTCTGGATTTGCTCCATTGAGCTCTGTTAACAGGTAGGAGAGGTTAACCCCTTTTGCAGATTGAAACGATTGGGAGGAGTTTACTCTTAAATGTAAGTCGATAGGAGCCAGAGCAAGTTGTAGCAAAAACTTCATCCACGACGAGCACTTCCCTATTGGGCTTCATTGCGCTAGTTGGTTAGCATTGTCCATCTATATACAGTCTATGATTAATACTGACAGCCTCCCCATCTATTGATAGAAGTACAGTGTATGTCATTGCATTATGCGTGGATCAGGCATGAGCAAACCTTTCCTCCAGAAGCTACTTTGATAATCAGCCTGCTGTGGGGGCCAGATTTAAGTTCCAATGTGTTTTTTTAAGGCTTAATTTTTTTTACACATAAAAATATAATATAGATAGAATATTATATAAAAGAGGACCCGAGCTGAGAGAGGGATAGCATTTAACTAATTTAACTAGTTACTCAATCTCAAAACAGGTGGGTTCTATCACTAGGTTTCACACACATATAATTCTGGCCTCTATCACATCTCTAGATCAACTTCCAGACAGAAAAGTAAAAACTCTCAGCCAATGAGTTCTGACATTTTTCTACTAAGATGTTTTACATTTCAAAAAAAGATTCTCTGAAAGCCAGTCCTAGTACTTACATGGGAAGGGTAATAGAGGAAAAAGGGCTGTTTATTCTGGACAGACGTCTTAATGAAATCAGTTGCAAAGAGACTGTACGACTTCTCCAGCTGCAGGAAGTCCACCGGTTGCTGAATGATCTTGTCGTCCTTCATCAGCGGGACGGGCACGGTTCCGAGGTCACAATGTCCAAAACATTTGACATCCGGAGGGAAGCAGGTCAGGTTTGCACAGGGACCCTGGAACCATCGCACAGCAGTTCTGTCAGCAACAAGGACTTAACAATTGTTTACGTTTGTGTAAAGTTTAAAGTTATTTTCTTATGTTGTACTAAAGAGAAAAAACTGAAATAGAGCCTTAATGGATAAACAAGTACATGTACATGTATAAAGAAAAATGCATTGGTAAATTACATCCAGGCATTGTTATAAATATTGTAAAATGGTTACAAAAGATTATATTAAATAAGACTATATTAAATAATTATTATTACATAATAAGATAAACTATTTTGTATATATAAACCTAAGAAGGATAATAATGTGTAAATTAATCAAAAACTAGGGGGAAAACAAATATTTAGAACCATCACAAGAAGAAACTAGAAAAGAAGGATTATAATGGTATGTTTGGTAAATGCAGGCCAAGACCTGATCGTGAGAGTATGGGATCCCCAGGAAGTGATCAAACCCATGATTGGTTGGAAGGTAGGTCCCATTGGCTCCAAGCCCCAGATGCCACTTCCCGACAGCAGCGGTGGCATAACCCAGGGGCTTCAGCATAGTAGCGATGGTGGTCTCATTCAGAGGAAGCCCCCCGATGGAGCCGGGGTACAGAACTCCAGGGTAGATCCCTGAGCGCGTCTCATGCCGGCCTGTCAGCAAAGCAGCTCTGTGGACCGCAACAAGTCAGGACAGGGTAATATTGCACCGCCAAGCGACGTTAAACTAGTGATATTAAGTATGAATTGATAGTTAAATACAGTAAAGAGCACATGACAAGTGAAAGAACTTGTTTCACTGGATTCAATCCGCCAGTTCACTCCTAAGACATTTGGTGCCCGGGTTTTAACTAGAGCATAGTTAAGATAGCATAGTTCCATGTTTGGATATGCACATAAATAATGAATATGCACCACAGAATGCAGCAGGCAAGTTATGAGAAACAAATACCCAGTTAGCCAACTTTTAACCTTACTTGTCTGTACACTCTCTAACCCAATTGTATGATGGTGAATTTAGAAAACTTGTGGCGACAGTAGCTCAGTTGGTAGAGCATTGGCCTTTGAGCCTGAAGGTTGTGAGTTCGAGCCCACCACGGAACCTTCTCCACCGACTCCCACTAATGTCTGCTGTCGTTGTGTCCATGGGCAAGACACTTAACCTGACATTGCCTGAAGCTTTAGCTGAAAAATCAAGGCTGTATCGTCACTGACAGAGCAGCCATCCTCCTGTGGACTCACCACCTGCAGGAGGATCAGTGAGGGGCTGGTGCTCAGTGAATTGGGTGCAGCTCTGACTGCCGCCCCCCCGACCCAGAAATGGAATAAGGGGAAGAAGATGGATGGATAGAAAACTTGCTTTGTAAGCTTGTAGAAACTGAGAATGGCATGCTTGTAATTAAAGAGGTTTCATTTCACAGTCTTGGTAAATCATAGGGTAGTAGAGTATAGAATAGAACTGTACCATTAATCTATGCCTAAAATGTTTTGATTTTTGGAGAGTCGCGGTGAAAAACAGCAATAGTACGACAGTAGAAGTGCAAGGGTCTTCACTCGTGTGTCTTCAGGCCTTTCACTGGTATGGTGGGGTATGGTGGGGTATGGTAGGGTATGGTAGGGTATGGTATGGTATGGTGGGGTATGGTACGACAGGGTATGATTTTTGTTTTTACAAGGGTAGTGAACAATAAAGATTAGTCAAAAGGAGACATGCATTGTACCAGGTTGTAGTAGGAGTGCTAATTTAAAACAATAATATACAAGTAGATGGATACATGCACATACACTATCAGAGAGAAATTACAATTTAATTTACCATAAAAGTAATGATTAAACTACCTAGTCCCCATTCTTCACTTCATCTCTATACACACACTCATAACTAGCTCTCTCTATCTCACACATGCACACACTTTTTATGAATGTATGTATATAAAACAAAAAAATATGCCACATCATTCTCCTCCTGAAGGATGAGATCAATGCTGTGCTTGAAAGTTTACACCCCCGAGCCAAAACTTACATAATTATGAATTATTGTGTGAAAGATATATTCTCAAGTAAATATCTTTTCATGATCACAATGACAACAGAAACTCAACCTCTGTCCCTGATTAGAAGTCTCAACAGTGTGTATTCCCCGTTAACATCGATGAAAGCTTGGGGTCTTTTGTGGTAGTTGTGGATGAGGTTGTGTGGTCAAAGCTCATTGGCAAGACGCAACCAGTTCCAGTAAATTCCTGGGCAGCCTTGCATGAACTGTACGTTTGACCTCTCCACAGATTGGCTTAATTACGCCATAATTTAAAAATAGAAAACACATTTATTTGCCAATGTATGGCTTCACACAATCATTAACGATGAGTGGGGATAACACCTTTTTTTATTAGTATTTTTTTAATTATTATTATTCAAGTATAACAAAACATGGTACAGATCTTTCAGTAAACAGTCAAACTTAATTAGACTAAAAGAAGGATTAGATACGAAGTCAGCGCTCACCTGGAGGGACTGCAGCCGCCGACAGTGACGTAGAAGTCGGTGAAGCGCAGTCCTCCCTCCGCCAGCGCGTCCAGGCTCCGGGTCAGGGAGGAGGGATGTCCGTAACTGCTCAGATCTCCAAAACCCAAGTCATCGGCGAAAAAAATCACAAAGTTTGGGGGCGCCGCGGAGCTCATGCACAGATATAAAACATTCACAAAGACAATAATGCTGTACGCCATCCTCATCAGTCACCTGCTGCGGGAAAGTGAAGTGACGTGAGGACAATACGGTCTATGGGACGGAACCTGTTTGTTTGCTTTCAGTTCCACCGCCACGTGAGAAAAGTTTGTGTTTATTCATCTCTGGAATCATTCGTGATCTAAATGTGATAATCCTTCGTGTAAAACATGATTTAATAATGCTATATTATATGTTTCCAGAAGTGTATATATGATTTATTATGGTTATTCTACTTCTTGTTTACTACTACTTCCGGAAAGTCACGCGCTGTTCCTGGTGCTATGTCACGTGTCCACAAGTTCACTTTGCTAAAGAAATAATAATAAAAAAATACATAAGTAGCAGTTTTGATCGGTAATCCTAAATTTTTACATTTATTCAGTCAAAACGTTGATTTTAATGACACACATTTTAATTGTACTGTTTTTAATACAAATTTAAAACATAATCTACATTATTCATTTGTATATGAGAACTGTAAACAATTCCAACATTGCATTACTGTTCCAATAGTAGTTCATCCCGTAAAAAAAAGTTCAAAATTACAGTGCAGATTGTACAGTATTATGACAAGTCACCGCAACACTTCCTTTTCCATTTGTTCCTCGTTTCTTTAAAGCATTTTTATTACATACAAAAAGTTAATGTTTTGCTGGTTTCCTCATATCTGTTTTGAGAGCTACACCAAACAGAGGCAGTTACTGTTATAACCTCTAAAGTGAAAAAAACGTCTGTTTTTTTCCTGAGTTAAAGTGATTGAGACAGTATTTTATTCACATCTGCAACAGGTTGGTTTGGGGCTGCACTCAGGATTACAACAGGGCACCAGAGAGCGGTCCGTTCCCTTTGATATCTCACTCGGTGCAAAGACCATAGTGTCTTCAAACTGGGCTTTCAGCTGCTTTATCTTCTCCACAATGTTCATCAGCTCAGGTTTGTCTGACAGCGACAGCGGATAGTGCTCTGAGGGGTCCGTCTCCACATTGAAGAGCAGAGGAGGGTCGTGAGCCTTCAGGAACGCTAACGCAGGGCAGTCCGCGTCAGGCGTGGTCGCGCTGTGAGAGGCACCTGGTGAAAACGACTCATTTATCATGTTTGGTTTCATTATTGACTTAACAGTGGACTGGAGTGGACTCTACCTCTTGTATAGAAGTGTGCCTTGTACTGTTTGTACCTCACAGCAAAAAGGCTGTACTTTTCACTGGGGTCCGTCGGATAGAACATCATCGTCTCACGCTCACTCTGCAAACACAAGTTATTTAAAATGAAATCACCAAGTAGAGAAGAGACAATTCTTTTAAGGGGAAATAGCCTGATTCTGTTCTCTATGATATTACGTAGCTCTTCATAGATATGGTTCATGTGAAATGTTTTGATTCAGGTAAAACAATGTTATACAAGAGTCCACTTTTCTCTCCTAGCCCCGCCCCTTCAGTGGAGTGCGAAACGTACATGTAACCCTCCGCAGACAAAGTTACGATGCAATTGTATATTTTTTCTTTGAGCAAAAATGACCGCTCGAGGCAGGGGAATCCTCCTCATATCATGGATTCAGATAACTGTCAAAGAAACGCTGTAAAACCAGGGGGAGGAGCAGGGGGTGGAGTCAGACGACCGAGGGGAGAGTAAAAGCAGTGCGTCGCATATGATATGAATAACACAAACATGCATGAGTGGTCCTGAAAAGAGTCTAAATGACAGGGAAAACAACCACAACAACTACAACATGGCCAAAAGAGAAGTGTATGTTTATGTCTCCTTTTGATTTTGATTTTGAAAACGTTAACTTTAGAATTTCAAGTTTTAAAATGTGAAATACTTTCTGAAGTACAAATATATATGGGTGTTCAGAGAGGTAAGAGATGACTATGTTGAGCAACACTCCCATCTAGTGGTACAGGTGGGATATTACATTCTGCTGCAGATAACTGGGTGAAACTGTTTTAATTATAATCAAAGTCTGAAATCAAACTTCTGATGTGGAGAGTAATATATAGAATAATGAGCTCTCTCCATATTGTGGCATAGAGCCATTCAAAGGAATAAGGTAAAAAAAATAACTGACCTAAGATATTCAAGAAAAGAAAGATTTCAAATGTTTTGACCAGTGTGCATTAGTGTGCCTCGAGATGATGTTGAACCAATGTAATCTCATTGGTCAAAAAGATAATGTGTGTAAACATTTTTGTGCTTGTTAGGATTTATGAGAATGACTTTGCGTTGTTAATAAAGGCTGCAGAGTTTCAGTTTCAGCTGGTGATGTGATTGTTTCAATGATAAAGATGTGCCAAATCAAGATATGTTTTCAACATTCTTTCCCGGAAACCGGCTTTTTCTCCAACACAAGTGTGTGTCACTTGGTGTTGTCCATGACAAAATCTGACTTTCTAAACAAAATAAAGTAAAATCTCTGGATAGCTACTCCCTTGTGGATCTATACTGATAGGAACATCCAAATGAGATGATATTTCCCCAAATGAGTATTCTGTGTATTTGTTTTGTCCCAATCTAGTGACTACATAAATAAGTGAAATCAAATATCTCCCCACCATTCCTCGATGAATGAGAACTTGAGTCAGATCCACTCCGTCCAGTATGACTGAGGGAAGTTTAGCCCCGGCCAGCGAGGCAAAGGTCGGCAGGATGTCCAGAATGCTGCCCATTTCATGAGTCACACCTACAACATGGAGGATTATTATGATCAGGGAATATTCACGTTCACATAAATGGAGTCCATAAGTCCCTTGCTGTAACGCGGTTCACCTTTCGTTGCCCCGATGTTTTGAAGATTTTGCGAGCTTCATCATCCACCGCCCGTGTATACTTCAACAACATCATATATTGCTAGTATAACAGTTACCTTTATTAAAAGTCAGAAGAAGACTTGTGGCTTTAGTGCACCGCTGTGATTAGTTCAGAGGACTACCGTAGTATAATGCACCAGTCCTGCTCCTGCCCCTCAACGCTGTGTCCTCTTTGGCAGCTGCAGCAGCGCTCAGACGTGCAATAAACAAGTTTGATATCTTCTACCGCACTTCAGTAGTCATGAATTCAGGTGGGTGTGGTATTGTATAAAGTGTGAGGTGAAGGTTTAACAGCCTTAAAACTAATAGCTTACTTTTCTGATTTTTCTTTTTGTGGGTTCTTTTTAGACCGTAACCCTTGCAATAAGCGAGGGACCATTGTACAGATGCACATACCTGGTGCAATAGTTCCAGGCCAATAGGCGATGGCGGGCTCCCTCATGCCGCCTTCATAAGTGGTCCCTTTGCCACATTTCAGCAGGCCAGCGTTTCCTCCTCTGGACCTTCTCATCAGTTCAGGTCTGAAGTACAACAAGCACATACTGCTTTAAGTGCTTATGACAAGTAACATTTTTCCAAGTATGTACTGTGTCATTACTGAGTGAATTTATAATACTTGAATGTATTATAAAAGAAGCAGTTAAACTCAAAATTATGTGAATCTGTTTCATGTCAGCTGCGCAGAACTAACTCCTGCACTAGTTTTACACAGGAATGTTTGTGCCTGGTGCCAACACTGCTCTGAAGGATGATTTAACCATTCAGTATTTTATATAATCAGGCCTTGCCAAGGGCAAGTGCCATTTATATTTTACTTGCCCAATGTACAAAAGTTACTTGCCCAAATATTTTTCAATACAATGAGTTAACAAGAGTTTGGCAATAAAGTGGCACTAACTGTGTGGAAAAAATAAAAAATCCACTCTCATCCCAAAAAGTCAAATAATGACTCCCAGGGCTCTTAAGTTTGCAAAATGAAATAGAAGACGCCTGTCATGGTGTGTTCTGTTTGATTTGTAAACAACAGTTTACTTTTGTGCACAACCAACATTCATTTTTAATGCAAGAAGAAATTTAGGTGCCTGAGCTTTAATGTTGTGAGTTTTGGTTGTGCATAGGCAGGAGTCACGGGGGAGACCCTCACTTGCATCAAGCTGGGGATGGTCCTGAACGCGTGTGCATATGGACCTGTCTGCGCGTCTATGGTTCTGTCCGCGTGTCCATGGTCCGCGGACAGAACCAAATGTCATTTGGTTGCTCGGTATGCAACCAAATGACATTTTCAACGGAATACAGTCGGGAATTGCGGATCCATGGAAAATTTGGAGAGAACTGGTCAAAAAAAGATAAACAGACGCGTCTGCTCCCGGCTCCGGAGGAAGAAATGCAGGAATTCATTCCCGCATTGAATGGGTTAAAGTAATACTTAATTTGCCCGATCGGGCAACTCGCTAAAACAGCGCACTTGCCCGTCCCAAATCTTTAGTTGCCCCGGGCAAGCGGACAACCGTTAATGTCGAGCCCTGATAATGATTATTTTTATCTTCCTAAAATATATTGTTTGTTTACTGTATTTTCTGGACTATTAAGCACACCAGGTACATTTTTAAAACAAAGTATGTTTTTATCCACATGTAAGCCTCACTTAGATACAGACTTATGGTTCTATATGTTAAGATAAGATAAGATAAGCTTTATTTATCTCACAGAGGAGAAATTTACATGTCACATTTGGCATGGATAGTTTTTAGTCATTGCCCTGTGTTTGAACTGATTCTCTGTTCTGTGTTTTGGCGAATAACTACTGGTGCAATTTAGGGCTTTAAAAAATAATTGTTGTTGTTCTCCAGTCTTTGAGAGATGTGAAACTTGGCCTGCATGTTGCCTCTGACTTGAACATTGATGAAAATATGTGAGACTAAAACAGTGTAAAATAAAAATGGACGCCCACCCGTTGTCTGCGGTGAAAAAGACAAGTGTATTTTTGATGACTCCCGCTTTCTCCAGGGTGATCATAATGTCTCCTATTGTATCGTCCAACTCAACTAGAGCGTCTCCAAAAGGCCCCCTCGGAGTCCTCCCAGCAGCTCTTCGGCCTGCGTACTGAGGGTAGTGCGTGTGCTATAACATACAAGCAGAGATTAGTGCTCCGGCAGCATTCTCCCACAGGCTGTGCACGTTATAGAGTGACGCTTACATGGGAGGGGTAGTACAGGAAGAAAGACTGGTTCTTCTGGGCCGATGATAGAATGAAATTCGTTGCAAAATTGCTGTATGCTTTTTCCAGCTCCAGGAAGTTGGCTGGTTGCTGAATGATTTTGTCATTTCTCATCACCGGGACGGTTACAGTGCCAACGTCGCAGTGACCAAAGCACTTCACGTCAGGAGGGAAGCAGGTTAGATTTTGACAAGGGCCCTGGGGGAATAGATAGTGGTTAAAAAAAATAATATTACATAGAGGGCTGAAAAATTACAGCAAAAACTACAATTTGTATAGACAGAGGAAAGTCGGAGAGACACAAACACACACACACCATGTCGTGGGAATAGGGGATCCCCAAGTAGTGGTCAAAGCCCTGGTTGGTTGGGAGGTACGTCCCATTGGCCCCGTAGCCCAGGTGCCACTTGCCCATGGCTGCGGTGGCATAGCCTGCAGGCTTCAAAATCTCTGCAATGGTGATTTCATTCAGCGGCAGACCCCCCACAGAGTCTGGGTACAGCACGCCAGGGTAGATGCCTGTGCGGGTCTGGTAACGTCCCGTCAGTAAAGATGACCTTTGAAGCAGATGATATTTTAATACAATGGAGCCTAGTTTTGAAGGAGAGAATTTTTCAAAACAAAAGGAGACTAGTTTGTGTAGCTTCTATATAGTGCATTGTTAGATTCCAACAATATTTTAGTCAATAAAACATATAAAAGGTCTATTTTAAGAAAAACAATTACAAAAAAATAAATAGATTCCAATAGCAATTCATTAAACTGCAAAAGTGGCCTTAGAGAGTCCATTTTTCAAAATGGCTTTTGAACATTTTTTGAAATGTACAAAAGCCAAGTTCCAAGTTCAGTTCTTCAAATAGTTTAACAAATCTTGTGATGTTGTGTTCACAGAGCTATTTATATGTGTAATATAAACACACTGTATTCATGTATTGTATAACCATTACTGTGTACATACATGTAATAGCAGTCACACTCCAGACTTTTTGGATAATCAAATAGTTGATACTTTGAAGATAGATAACTGTATCTTGAAGTTTAACTTGTAATCATAAAATCAGTAGATCTGGCCAACGTGCTTATCATTTTGGTACGAGCCGTAATCAGTCTGACATTTAAATATGAAACTGTGTAAACTGGAGACAGTCCCAGCGGGCTCACCTGGAGGGGCTACACACGGGGCTGGTGCAGTAGAAGTCGGTGAAGCGCAGTCCTCCCTCCGCTAGCTTGTCGAGGTTGGGGGTCAGGGACGTGGGGTGACCGTAACTGCCCAGGTCCCCGAAGCCCAGATCATCGGCGAAGATCAGCACCAGATTTGGCTGAGAGGCTGCGGCCGGACCTAACAACAGCAGGTATGTAAAGATGACAGCTCGGAGGGGAGCCATAGTCAGCTACATCCGGGCAGGAGAGAGCGCAGAGCTTTTAAAACAAACCTATGAGAGATCAGAGGGTTTTTTGAAACAGTAACATGAGAGGAGGAAACACGGAAGCAAAACAATGTCACGTGGTGTGGAATGATAGCCTTGGCGCGTGCGCTTATATCTTGGTATTCCGTCCCATTCAACCCATACCATAGTTATCCCCAATTTTAACCGAATAATTTTTTTCTAACCCTAACCTCAATCTTTTTTGACGTTTGTGTACACATTTTAATAAAAAAAAGGCAACAAAGTTTTATTGTTTCACTCTGCCATGGACGAAATGCCAAGACTAACCTCTTCACTCTAGTTTAGAGTGCGTCCACTCCACATTCAGACTAAATACCTTTTTAACCTTACATTTCCTATCAAGTAATTTTTTCAGACCTTATTATGTTTTATTTAATACCGTTTATCTCATTAAATTTCACCAATGTCAATAAAAAGGTTATAGAAACACAAGGAAGGAGTTGTGTGTTCTGAATGCAGATGCAGCCTGAGTTTCCCCACACATTTATAAAGCATGAATACTAAATCTATAGACATACTATATTCTGGCCATGTTCTAGATTCAGTCTTGTAGTTTCAAATACAATACGTGGTGTTTGTAAGATAGCAATGGATTCCTTTAATTAGCACATAAAGCGGTAAGAATTTGGTGAATAGACAGAGTTTATGTTACTCTTAAAACTTTTTTTTTGCTTTTATTTTGCATAAATGATAATAATGCATCGGTTTTATATAGCACTTTTCCGGACACTCAAAGATGCTTCACATGTCATTTGTCTTTCATTCCATACACAGTGGTGAAAAACTACTACTGTAGCCACAGGTGCACAAGTGAAGCAACCAGTATGTCCTATCGGGCCCTACGTCTACCACCAGCCATTTACACACCAGACTCATTCTTGGCCATGTGGGTGAACTGTCTTGCCTAATGACACAAAAAACAGTTTTGCACTTTACAGCCGCGGCTGCCCCACTATGTCTTCTATTGTTCCCAGAGGTCTCCCATCACAGTACTAACCAGGCCCAGCTTTGCACAGATTTAGAGGTCTGACAATATTTTGCTTTCGCTTGCAAGTATTATACACATTAATTAATGAAATACCGCTTTAAATTCCTGCTGGTTTGTTTTTGACATTTTTAAATTACCTTTCAGTGTGAGGTATGTTTAAAAGTTGAATATTCTGTATAATACATCTTTTTTTTTTATATTTGAAAGAATAATTCGAATAATAGAAATGTATTTTGTTGGGATTGAAGGTCACGGACAGTTCCGCTGACGATGGTGTGGAAAAGCTTCAACTAACTGAAACAAAAAATACATTGAAAAGTTTACTGAAAAACATAATAATAATAATAATTGTAATAGTGGTATATTTTTGATTCCTAAAAACAATTTACATGGTGACATACAAGTTATAAAGTGGCCTATCTTTCATCTATTCATGCAGTTGGGATACGCAGCTGTACTTTTAAGTGCACTACTTGCAAATCTTAAGGAATACTTCAAGTACTAAAAACTATCCTGAGATCGCAGACAGTCTGCCTCTGAATTGAAACCCCTTTGCTTTATTTTGAAGATGCTGCTTCTCTGCTCCAGCTACTTTCATCTTATCTTTCAAACCCCAGCCGGTCTGCATCTGTGCACGCAAACATGATGCAACCACTGGAGAGAAACCATCCATCCACAATCCATCCACATCCCTCCATCCTCAGCAGGTGTTCACTTGAAATATGGTAAGATGGCAAGCCCTCTTCTATCTCTGCTTTTAACTTGTCACATTTTTATCTAGGGAAACGCTGAGTATATTTTGGTCCTGAAGCTTGCGGCCAAATACCTGGGAGTGGAATTAATTAGAAGGCAATAATTCAGAGTAATGAGAGCAGCGGCTTTTCCAGCTGTAATGGCTTGTGAAGGTGTCTGCCAGACAGAGCATTTAAGGGGATGACATAACCTGAGCTGCACCAGGGGAGTGAGTAAGCAAGCACTCATGTGACCTTTTCAACGTGGAGCAGTGGAAGTGAGTGCTTGGCAATGATAAACACGCAACAGGGAGGAAGTAGCTAAAGGCACAACAAAGTGGTGTTCCCACTCGCTGTGCACGGAATGTTCGGCGGGAGAAACCACACATCTAAGACTGAAATTACACCAGTTTGTTAGTTGTTCCTCAAGTGTTTTGTTTTCGTCTTGTTGATTGTGTGTGCTGGGTGCGCTGTTTGCACGGAAGTCATGTGAAGCAGAGTTTATTTGCAAAACTTTATCCATGAGCACTTCCCTAATGGGCTTCATCTTAAAAATAGAAGACATCTGACATTCTGGTCCGAATTGTCCATAAAAATATACTCTTATGAATTTATGGAGCTATGTACCCCAGCTTTAACCCCAAAGTAGTGGTCTGTACATTGATAATAACCAGGTTTGAATCATCCTTGTTTTACTCTATTTTTAAACAGTCCATTATTGAAAAGCTAAAAAGTGCTGTTTAACAACAAATTCAGTGACATAAATGAGGTTCGTCATTATCATCGAGAAGCCTCTCCACAAAGCATTATCTTTGATGCATTCGAATATCATTGGACATTAATGCTATGTTGTGGAGAGACATGTGGTGAGCCATTTTTGCCACAGTAATAATTCATTTCTTTTATCCAAAGTTATTAACCCTCTGAAGTCTAGGGCTGCAAGACCATGAAGAAGTATATCTACTGCACATATCTGTTGTCTGGCTCCGGCCGTTCACGTGCACCTGTAGAGGTGGATGTGTATTCTCTACTGTTACAGATTAATCAACAGAAAGCACATTACACTGGTCTAGTCTTAATGATGGTTTGGGCCCGAGGCTAAAACATTAAATCAATCAATATTTTCCAAAAATTAGACAATCAGGGCTGTGCGAGCTCATCTTTTCTCATCCTAAATTATTGACGTGGGCTGAAAAGGAGGATTTGTTCTTTCACCTAAACTCACTATTTTGGAGTTAGACCTGAGGCAGACAGCATGTGTCTTCTTTATCTCTCTCTCACAATGTTTGGATTAAAGATGCACAATTGTTTTTTTATACGTGTTACCGTTAAAACGTGTTTGCTCCTGCCAGAGTCCCATTATGTATGAAATAAAATCTAAAAAACTAATATTATATTTATGATAACAAAAGTCTTTTGACTTGATTTTATCTTCCCAGGGGACTGGGTCGTGGCGTCTCTGTGGACTTCGCATGTTTCTCTGCTTCTTAGTGTAGGGTTCCTCAGACACATGTGTCCAAATTATTTGGACACACTCTATCACAATAACAAGACATACAGAGACTGCAAACTTGAAAATCAGTAGCGGCTTATAGTCCAGCTAATTTGTACTTACAAAAAAGTATTTATAAAGCAATTCATACTATGTTACCCAAAGTTGATTTAAAATTAAAGTTTTGGACCTGGCCTCAAACATTCCCAGGATGTGGCTTGCCTTACAAGCTCAGTAAGACTGATTGTTGTTGTTGTATTAGTTTATTTGACAGGGACATTGTGTATTAATAAACATTTCTGTAAATGCATTAGCCAAGTAGGCATTTTTTCATCTGCAGTCCCTGGACAGGTGAACATAGTCTCCCAGATCTTAGCTACACTTTCTATCCATGTTTAATCCTGGCTCTAGTCCCGGAGCCCTTCGAAGTCACAGCAGGAGGCCAGTCCCTGTGCTCCTTAGAGTCACAGCTGGAGGCCAGTCCCTGTGCACCTCAGAGTCACAGCAGGCCAGTCCCTGTGCTCCTCAGAGCCCCAGCTGGAGGCCAGTCCCTGTGCTCCTCAGAGCCCCAGCTGGAGGCCAGTCCCTGTGCTCCTCAGAGCCCCAGCTGGGGGCCAGTCCCTGTGCTCCTCAGAGCCCCAGCTGGGGGCCAGTCCCTGTGCTCCTCAGAGCCCCAGCAGGAGGCCAGTCCCTGTGCTCCTCAGAGCCCCAGCAGGAGGCCAGTCCCTGTGCTCCTCAGAGCCCCAGCAGGGGGCCAGTCCCTGTGCTCCTCAGAGCCCCAGCAGGAGGCCAGTCCCTGTGCTCCTCAGAGTCACAGCCTATCCTCATTTCAGTTTGCCCAATTTGAGTATAGTTTGCACGTATACAACATCCATCTGTAACCCTACATACAATCCTTTGTATTGCCACTATAGTTTTCTGTTTTGAGTGCTCACATTCTTCCACAGACGGTGTTTATTTAGCCCAGCAGGTTGTGAACACGCTGTAACTGATAGCCCGCTATTTCATTTTCACACAATATTAGCAACATGCACCCATGAATTCAAGTGTGAAATCCTATTCTGGATTCTGCTTCTGCTTCTGCTCACAAACCTGTAGTGGGAGCCATTGCCTTACATTTTCCACTCTATCTTTCATCTTTGTAAAAGAGTCCCATTATGTATGAAATAAAATCTAAAAAACTAATATTATATTTATGATAACAAAAGTCTTTTGACTTGATTTTATCTTCCCAGGGGACTGGGTCGTGGCGTCTCTGTGGACTTCGCATGTTTCTCTGCTTCTTAGTGTAGGGTTCCTCAGACACATGTGTCCAAATTATTTGGACACACTCTATCACAATAACAAGACATACAGAGACTGCAAACTTGAAAATCAGTAGCGGCTTATAGTCCAGCTAATTTGTACTTACAAAAAAGTATTTATAAAGCAATTCATACTATGTTACCCAAAGTTGATTTAAAATTAAAGTTTTGGACCTGGCCTCAAACATTCCCAGGATGTGGCTTGCCTTACAAGCTCAGTAAGACTGATTGTTGTTGTTGTATTAGTTTATTTGACAGGGACATTGTGTATTAATAAACATTTCTGTAAATGCATTAGCCAAGTAGGCATTTTTTCATCTGCAGTCCCTGGACAGGTGAACATAGTCTCCCAGATCTTAGCTACACTTTCTATCCATGTTTAATCCTGGCTCTAGTCCCGGAGCCCTTCGAAGTCACAGCAG